AGTCAATGTTCTGTTCAAAGTTGTCGCATATTCCGACCCAATTCGAACAGACAATGCTATTCAGCCAACCGTTATCGACCTTGATGACGTCGGTGTTGATATTGCTACGCCAACCTTACCAAAACTTCGTCAAACTCGGCCAGCACAGCAAGCAAATTGAAGTTGAGTTGTTTGAAAAATGTCGTACGTGAGTATTATCATTCAGAATATCCCTAGTAGTATGCACTAGTTGACAATTGGACGGAATGCACATCTTCATCTCCTAGATATGAGGCTAAAAGTAACCACGCGCTGTGTGAATAAACTTTCGTTGAATATCCGTTGGTAACTTGGCAGCTGCGCAAATCGAACAAATCTATACTTGTATGAATGAAATATCATCCAGTTGAGAATAAAGCTATTAGCCTTGATTATCTATCAGGGATTACTCTAGCTAGAAAAATCTTGTTGATTCCAGATGTACCATGTCATTTGGCAACTTCTATGTGTTTCACTCACTGACTCGTGACGTCAGTAGTTATGAGTGATTTTGGTGACCTCAGAACAATGAAGTTGCACACAGTACTCGAATCAACGCCATATTGCTCTCTCATTTCGATAATTGCATGTATTAAAAGTATTTGATACAGTTATTAATCATTAGAAATCATGCATCACCCTCTCGATAACGTTACATACCGATAAGCACTATCAGTTGTAAATTTTTCCACATTCTATTTATATGGCAATGAGAATTTACTTCAACGGTAAGGGTTTACTGAAATAAACACATTCAATTAGTCGTATCGTATACACAATATCGTGGATTTGCGACAGTGAACAAATATGGGTTAGTTATTCGAAATAATAAAATGGAATTTTCCTCTGAACAGACCCATTCAGAAATGTTTTTTTTTTTCGATAAGGATGTCCACTGAAATGAACATCAGGATGACGAGGTTGGCTCGAGGGATGGCTTGCCGATTTCATGGAGAACTGTTTAAAAACCTTACTCTATTTCCATACACTATAGCTTCACCTATACAGTTTCAGTTTTGCCACATCTTCCAACTCAAATACAATATATTGATCCTTCCCTAACGATTCTGTTTGCAGTTTATTGAAAATCAAATACCCAAAAGATCAAAACGACACTTCCGAAAATTCAATTTCGGATGAATGTTCAGCGCTGATTGAAAAATATTGCCCGCCGAATATAATCAGAAGCGAAAGACTAATTCAAAAGAAAAGAGCTTAGTATAAAATAAATACGGCAATTTAGAGGCGAGGGAGAAAAGAAAATTCAGAAGATCCGCTCACAATTAAAGTAGCCCTTAAAGATAAGCCTAGGGCGTAAAAAACATCCCTTTACAAGTGAAAAACTTCGTTAGAAAATCCCTTCGAGAAAACTTCGTTAACCGACTTGAATTCGGTGTTAACAATGTCCCGGATTTTTCGCAATTTTATTCCGGAGCCTGGGATAGATTCCGGAGGGCTGATTGCCGTGGTAATGAGGGGGCAGATGACATTTATCTTAAGAAGGGGTTAACTTGTCGCTAGTAGCTGGTGATTATTGAAACCCTCTCTCGAATAAATCAAGATAATGCCTAGCTGGTATACAGGAGCTAGAGATATATAATACTCCGCTCGGACTGTCTTTATTGCCTACACTTAATACGCATTTTTCATTATCGTTGTGAATTTCCTTCACATCTTGCTTGTTCATTTGGAATTTCCTCTCCTCTTTTCGATGAAAACATGAATATTATTACAATATACGTGTAGTAGGCCAAATCAGATGATCTGCCCCAAAATGTCACTGCGTTAGTTTTTTCTGCAATCGATTCAGAAGTGGACGACTCTTAAGTGTGCTACATGCACATTAGGATAAAACATTCAGTTTTGATATTCTTCTGGAGATGCTAACATAGTTAGCGAAACACATGTCGAGGCGTCAAATATCGGTTTGGTTACTGTTAAAACAATGTGTAGTGTATACTTTTTGGAAGTGGTAATATTTGATATAGTATTATGATACAATTTTGTAGTGATGTTATTAGATGAATGAAGTGACTGGCGCCTATTCCACAAAACGTGTGGTAGTTATCAAATCATCAAATCAAAATTTGCTTTATTGTCGAAAGAAAGGTGATTCTCATTGACAAAGCTTAGAGGTTAAATGAACATGATCAAAGATTTACGGTAACAAATACATGAACATTAAAATATAAGTCACGAAAAACAATATTTGGAGCTGTGAGCTCTATCATAATATAGTTGAAAAACAAAAATAAATAACATATAACGAAATAGTGCGTCAATAATTAACTAACAAACTAAAGCACAACAGAAATGTAGTGTTTTGTCCCCACGTAGGTGTTTGTTGTGTTTGTTTAATAGTTTTAATCAATTTTGTTTCAGTATAATTTAATTAATAATCAACCCAAAATCGAGCATACTTTCGGACCTCTCCTGGTATCATATTTATCGCGAGAATGCCTTTAAAATCTTTAGCGCGCCCTCTGTGGTGAAACTAGGAAGAGGAGATAAGACAATTCGGTACGATCTCCACGCAAGAAAGCAAGTGTGGTCCGCTATTAAAAATTCCACAATTTTGTGAAACAGACAATAATGATGTTGTCACAGGTGTTGTGATTCCGGCTTCTTCATCATTCCCGTGTGTGTGCTGGCCAGCAATGATCGCGACAGAAAAATAAAAAGGTTAGATTTTAAAGGCTCGTTTTATTATATTATATTATAAGTTATTCGATTATTATTTTTCTCAAAAGCGACAATCCATTTCATCTCTCCTGAGTACAATTTCTATTCGAAAATTCTAGTTTCTTAACATGTAGAAATAAAATGAAATGAAATGAATGAGGATATAAAATAATATAAATCTAAATATAAAATTGGAGAAATCTAGACTCGAATAAGGATATAAAATGAAATATATTGTTAGGAATCTTGATGAAATTCGGTCAAACTATAATGAGTCTTCACAATCTTCTGACTGACGTTCTGACTTGTTATCTGAACTTGAGATCATTGCCCATTTTTCGTAGATATATACATGCAGATAATTAAACATTTTCTTGCTCTCATGAATTGAAGAGTTCTTAGTAAGAGATGATGTGGGAATGGAAAGTTTGATACAATTTGAAGAGCTGCGGGTTTTATGTGTAGGTGCTACAAATTTGAAATCTCCATATTTCTTTTGGACTGAGCACACAGTTTCTAAAATGAAGATGTGAAATGTCAATATTCCATGGACTAAAAACAATCATCTGCATGAATTTCCCACCCCAGCTTCACACATATCATCTCAATGCTCTCTTTTGTAAAATGAAAATAGGTTTGAAATGGTCAGTACATGTCCCCCAGAACCAATTGCCGTAACGCAGATGTGATTCGATGAGTGAATAGTAAACATTTTTTGCCGCAATCATTCCCAATTCATTCGAAGTGACCCTCACAGCATAGCAGCCAGATGGTAGTTTTTTACTTAAAAGTAGAATGTGCCTTTCAAATTTTAATTTGGCATCAATGTTCAACCCTAAAAACTTGTAAGTATCTTCATTACTGAGGTATTCATTTCCTAGGAAGACCTGAAATTAATGATTCCTGTCTTGTTAATATTGAAAGATAATTTAACTTTCTATGTACAAGTCTTCGTTGATGATATTTCCCAATACTGAGGAATTCTTCGTATGCCAAAGAATAGTTTTATCGTTAGCAAATACGGTGTATATCGATTTCCATCAAGTCATTTACATATAATACAAATAGAATGGGACCAAGTACAGAGCCTTGCGGAACTCCATGTTTCACAACTAATTGCCTTGAGGCTTCGTTATGAAGAATAACACTTTGAGACCAGTCAGTTGAGTACGATTGAAACCAAAGCAAAGGTACACCTCTGAAACCATATGTATGCAGGAGAAGTTCACCGTTATTCATAGCCTTGAAAATATCGTCCGTGATCGACAAAAGGTTGGAGGCTGATCTATCATGATAATTTGATATGACCGTATAGAAACGTCGAATTGAATGGACAGGATGACAATATCATTATTTGATAGTTTTATTCTATTAACCTGATCAGGATCCTCAGGATTAGCGATCTTCCTCGAATAAAATGGTGGATGAACTACTGCCACCAAAATTTGAAACGCTCCGCCACCAAAGATTCGAAAGTTCGTTTTTATTCCTTCGAATAACTTTTTACATCCAGAGACTTGTGTCTTGCACCAAGTTCTTGTATGAATTGTTATAGCCAGTGACTTTTCCCCATTTCAAAATGTCTGATTAAATAAAAACCTCACACACTTTTCAAGAAACGATGACAAATAGGATACATTGATAGTTTGTTTCATTTTCCAGATCAAGATCTTAGAGAATCGCGATTTTTTATATCGAGACACACGGCAGTGTCTTGCACCAAGTACCCCTATGAAATATTCACCTGATAAACGGTTATTACAACATACAAGGAAGGCAACAATCGTGCAAATTACCCATTTTCAGTGCGAGGCGGTATTGTTACAAAAAATTGGAAAATCTAATACAGACGCTTTCGTAGTTAGCCGAACTAAACGATATTAAATAAAAAGTAGTTTGAGAACCTCAAGGAACACGCTCCAATAGCTAGCCAAACTGAGATGAAGTAGGAAATAAAATGATGGAAGCGTGTTGATGAATACACAACATGGAAAAAATTTGCACCCCTTCAATCATTATTTTCTTAGTTGTGTATTGATCAACACGTTTTTATCAATTCATTTCCTGCTTTTTTCAGATAAGGTGTATATAAAACAGTGTTTCATGAGTTTTTCAAGCTACCATCAATTTTTTTCCTTAAAAAATATGAGTATATAGACACTTCTTCGCATTTTGTATTTAAATGTCTTCAATTATTGTAAACCATAATAACGCTTGGTTCCTTCTTGTATAATTCCGTTCATGTTATATCAAGCGGTAAGGTTGATGAGTGAGAACTAATTTCTACCATTACCTTGCAGGAATTGCACACCATCTTGCTGGTCTACCGGGTCCTCCTCCAGAATGGGCAATGTTAGGCGGAAGGCACTCCTACCCTCATGGTCCATTCATGGGTCACCATCACCCTCACTTCCCACATCATATGTTTGCTGCTTTGGACCGTCCAGTCAATACTTCTCCTAAGATAGCAAACGGTAAGAAGATCTCAATCTGATGTACCAGTTCACTCAAATCCGATTTATGATCTGGAAGCTTTGTTTCGATTTTGATTAGATTTTCTAGGTTCTGGTTGCCAGAACACTTTCAATTCATGGAACTTGTCTCAAATTTGATTCATCAAGCTTGGAGGATGAAGAACCTAATCCATACAATATAGGAATAGCCCTCTGTATAATGAAGTGATGTAGTATTATTGTTTGCATGTGAACTCAATCATGACAGACATAGACTGCGCAGTCAGAATCTTTCACAGTTAGGTGAACGTGCTTATAGTCCAAGAGCCGATTGCAAATTTCGACCGTCATCTGATGGAGAAATTATATAATTATATATGTTGTTCATCGAACGGTACCTGCGCCAATCTCTTTTCTGAACAAAATGATTGAAAAATTTCACTCTCCTGTGGAATTTGCACTCGATTTTGCGATTTGATGAATAAATAAGATACCAATTTGATGGTAGATCTCAAAACCCTACCCTGCCACCCCTCAATCTGAGCCAAATCCATGCACATCGATTTGTTTGCTGCCATTATTCCGAACATACTCCCGTCATGTGATACCACGTTGAAATAAAAAGCTAATTGAAGGGGATAATATTTTCTTTGCGAATATCCAAACGTGTCACGATTCAAACTGATCTAAGTCAGTGGCAGAGCGTCAATATTTCCGAGAATATTTTGCCCATTTCTAAAGTATTCGGAAAGAAGACATTATTTCCTTCAATTCGCTTTCTGTTTGAACTTGTTTCTTGTTTTCACATGACAAAAGTAGGTCTGGAATAATGACAGCAGATAAATAACTGTGCCATCGATTTGGCTCAGAGTGAGGGATGGCATAGGTAGGTTTCTGAAATCTACCATTTAATTAATATCGGATAGCATACTCCATATGTCGTTATCAAATCGTAAAATTGATTGCAAGTTACCGTACAGGAGAGTGCAATTTTGCAATCATCTTGCCCATGATAGTGATTGGCACAGACAAAATACGATATTCATACGCCTTTGGTCGAAAATTGCAGTCGCCTCTCCTACTATTAGAATAATTTGCAGAAACATCGTAACAGGATAAGATATTTAGTTTAGATCTTTTCCTGAAGATCCTAACAATGAAGCGGAACAGGTGTATATTACTTTAATTGTGTCAAGGAGCAAGTTATTTGTATTTAGTGTAGCCGTTCACTGAAGTATGAAAACTCTGATGATTATAGATACTTTATGGTCAGAGTTCTATTATTATTTGCAGCAAATACTGCACTTTGACGATCGTATGTGACACATCATGTATTGCCATCATCAAAATAGTGTCAAGTGCATCACACGGTGAATATTTGTGTCAATCCAGGTCCACACCGGATTTTGTGACCATTTGATAGCTACTATTCAAATTATACTGACACAAAATGTCTCTGAAATATGAGAAATGTACGAAAACCATGTACACAATTTTGACAGCAATTTCAACAAAAGTTGATTCCTTGATGAACCAGATTGTACATTACTTATAGACGGATGAATAATTATTCGAAATCGATAAATCGCCCTGTATCTCCGTTATGAAAACTCTAAGACCTATCAAATATGGTATTTTCAGAACCACCTTGGTGACCCCTATCTACCATTGAAATATTTTCCTTCACCTGTGCAACACCCTGTATAACCGAATTTGGAATTGTCTCATATTGCAAGTAATTGAATTTAAATGGCCTTCGGAATTTCCTAGTAAGTCCTTGAATCCATTGATATTCAATGAAATAGTATAGTAAATCTGTTCTGAAATGAAAGAATATAGCAATTCATCTTTTCTATTGCGAAAGTGAAATACACATGGCAATTTTACAATGGTAAAACATAACAAGGTAACTAACTTGATTTACCCATTGCATCAGATTAATGTTACCTGACGAGTTCAATCAGCAATTAAATTCATCAGGATCTTCTGTTCTGGCAAAATTCAGCGACCTCAGACATATCTGATGATCTCTTTTCGACGAAACTTGTGGAATCATTTTTTTTTGGATGTTTTCGATATGAAATAAATTTCTTATTGACGATAATTTCCTTTTTTTAATCAATTTTTAATTCGATATGCCCAATTCACGAGATTATTACAGTTGTACTCGCTACTTTTTTTGATGAATTTTGCAAAACCTAGTAAATGAGTTTATTGACTATTTCCATCGCCGATGATATCATTCATTAGAGAACAAGAAAAGTAATTCGATATTTCTTCACTAGGTCCTTTTCATAATCATATACATGATGGACTCATTTTCCAATTATACCACTTATCACAAAAGTCGATGATATTCTACGGAAAACTACGAATGGGGATGGTTTGAAACAATTTTCAAAATAATCAAAATCAAAGCAGAATGACTTACTAAAAGTCTCATCGACAATATTATTCCATTTTATATAAGTCAAACAGGTTTACAAAAATGACAAGGCCATCAATTGACCAGACTAGTTGAAAGAGAGGTATTGCACGGATATTGTACGGATAATAAATAAATCAGGTAACTTCAATTCAATCATTCATTGATAAAGAAGTAATTGATGCAAACTGTTCCTAAGAAGAGATCATGTGAAATACCTATTTGTTGTTTGTTGTGGTATAAGTAATGAAGCTGCGATAATGCAAAGCTCCTATTGCTGCCGCACAGTACAGAACTCTCAGCTGTAGTTGTGCCAAATATTCATCATCCAGGTTATCATCCATTGGTAGAATTGGAATGGTCTGTGCAGATTGATCATCCTGCTTCGAAACAATGGTAATTCCAAAAATGATGCTTGATAGTCCGAACGAAAATAATAATTACAAATCGATATGACAATATTGGCGAGCGTCAAATTCAGAAAAATCTATGAATGACAACTTCATTTCATCGTCTCACGGTACTGATTGCCGAACGTTGATTATAACGTTGTATTGCGTTACGGTATCTATAATTCAGGAGTTACAGTAAAATTGATCTGAACCAATTTATATTTCCAGAACCATCATCAACTTCATTGGGCCCAATATCAATCAACTGCAGCACAGCCCACAGCACAACCTCACCAAAAACCTCACCCAACACTCAAGTGGGTCTTCTCACCACTGCAGAAGCACCACAATCTCCCCAAGAAGACGACATATCTGTCACCGCATCACCCACTCCGTCACCGCAACCTCCACCAGCGTTTCCAGGCTTCCCACCACCTCAGAATCTTCACACCAGTCAGCTCTTCAACAACGCACTGGCTGCCAGCTTGTTCTTGAACAACCCTCTACTGCCACCTACAGGCCAGTGGTTCTACTCGCAGCTGTACCCTCACGATTGGAGTTGGATGAATTTGAGGAATAACTCATTGCTTGCCAGGGGTTCTCCTCAAGAAGATGTATCCCAGAATCCGGACAGTTCTAGTGAAAAGCTGGATGTAACTGAAGTTGACAATGACGTTAAGGATCTCAAGGATTTCAGTGAAACGTTCAAGGAGTCTGTTGAGAAAGATAGTGATAAAGACAAAAATACCTTTGAAGGTGTTAATTTGAGCATGAAACTTAAGAAAGCTGCGGTTACTCTGGTGAGGCAAAAGGACGAAGTTAGTTCTAGTGATAGGGATAATTCGAAGGGTTCTAGGGATAGCAATAGGAATGTTTGGAGGCCATATTGAGTTCGTGAACAGTGATTTCTGATGAATTTTATAATCAAAATAAAAAAACAATAATTTAATTCCACACAAGACCCAGTATTGCAAAAGGAGAACATACACAAACTCTCCCAAAACAAAAACCCTTCTAGTTTTAACTCCGTCATATTTCGTCCGATCTCGAGAAATAACGACAAATTATGATTTAGAATGACATAACAACATGAGCCAAATCATGGAAATGATTATTCTTCACTTAATGGGTTCATAATATTTTATCGAATTCAACGAAACACACATGTTTATGATTGGATAAACATTTTGTGGATACATGAAAATCTTCTTCAAGTTCAAATTCTAACTGGAATGTATCGCATTGATCTAGAGTTGTCTATGTGGAGAAAAGATTGTATTTATTTTGGTTCTCTAAATCGGATGATCCAGGCGGATTCACTGTAGAGGCGTGAATTTATATGATACAGCTTAATATCTGTATCAGTTGAAAATGATTTACCATTATGCAATTGTCTTCAATCCTTGAATTAGAATAACAACACTTATTGTGTTGTTTCTATACTGACGATTGATGTTTCCATTAAACGAATGGTGAGTTGAGTAAGTAACCAGGAAAAAATGTGAATTGTAAATTGGACAAATACTGCAATTTTCATTCACTAGATTACTGGGATTATCTCTGCTCGTCTCTATAAGTTATATATATAATATATGCGCAGGACTTCAGGATGTTATAGCTCGTTCAAATGTATGAAAAAAAATCTATTGACTTACCTTCTTGAATGAACTATTTTAGAGATACAGGGTGTTGGAATTGAGTGAAAAATCGTTTTCTGCGAATATTTCTAGAACCGTTCATCGCACAAAAAATTGCTTTTGTAAGCATTTTGTTCTCATAATGAGCTATGTTTTGGTGGGAATGTTTTTTATTTTCAGGTCATAATTGGTGAAGATTTTGAAGGGGTAGTAAGTGTTTGCCTCCCCAACTTCTACGCCACTGGAAATAGTACAATTTTGAGCAACCCATTTGAACTGCCAATATTTCCTACACAAAAAACTTGATCTTGGTCAAATTTTCAATTTTCGAAAAAAAATCAACTTTTATGTTGAAAATCATAGTAAATTTTTTTTAACATCATGATTTGCTATTGTTTTGAATCTGTTCAATTGTGTGATATGAAGTTTATCTTTGCTTTCGGTACTCGTTCTGAAGTTTATATAGGGTTTGTTCAATTGTTGAAAGAATTGTTTCCAAAAATCTACCATGACTCTCAACATGAAAGTTGCTTTTTCTCAAAAACGGTCAACTTCAGAGGTTATGACCACAAGTATCTTTTTTGTGTAGAAAACATTGTTCGAATGGGTTGCTCAAAATTGTACTTTTTCTAGTGGCGTAGCAGTTGGGGAAAAACATCCACTGACCCTCAAAAATCTCCGAAAAATATGACAAAATAAAATTAATTCCGCACGAAACATAGCTTATTATGAGTAGAAAATGCTTACGAGAACTGTTTTCTGATTGATAAACGGTTTCAGAGATATACGCAAAAGACAATTTTTTTTTTCGAATTTCAACACCCTGCATATCGAAAAATAAGAACTTTTTTTAAATATTTTTTGACGAACTATCAGATTCTGAATTCCTGCGCATATATCATGAAACACCTTGTATATCGGTATTTTTCCAATATATCTGTAGAAGGTATAGATCAGATCAGGTCATTGCGCATGGAATTTCACTATATATAGCCAGTGACACGTTGTTTGAAAAAAAAAATGTAGGTGTTTTAAAAAAATATAAGAGATCAGACTAAAGAATCATCAGCAGATTTTTTCAACATTTTTCATACAAGGTCTCACTGACTATCTTTCTTTTTTTGGGAGGAAATTCCAAAAATCTGGAGAAATGAATATTCCATCTCTTCTATTACCCTTCAGACAGTTTTTAACTGTGATTTTATTCAAAATAGAAATCCTTCTGAACATGAGTTTTTCTTTCAGCTTCACTTTTCAGATATATGAAATAAATAACGCTCGATGAGCTTTGGTAAAACAGAACAACTGTTTTGATTTCTGAGAAAAAACTTGTGCTCTCATCACAAATAATATTTCTCTCTTGGTGTATACAAACTCATTTCTCAACATATCCAGATGTCGAATGAATTATTACCTAAGGATGTGGAATCACATTGTATTCAGATCCGGAATAGTTTTCCATCATGTGTCAATAATGAGGAAAATTGGAAGGAGAACTTTCTTTCCACTATCAAGACCAATATCCTTAAACCTTGTATACAGTGTTGTCGTGATAAATCGTACTAGTATGTTGATTATTGAACATTTTGTAAATATAAAATAAGTGTAAATTGTTATTTTTATCATTCATTTTATGTAGAAATTTATGTTTGTGAATAAAAATATAATTGTTGTGAGTTCGGCTTCTTATTGATTTATTGGTACTTACCTATACAGCTACTAATGAACTATGAATACACTCTCATTATTAGTTCTATGTGTTTACGATTGAAATAGAATGAACGCGTGGGCTCCTCCTTATCTATATAGGTATGTTCACATCATTTGGAATGAGAAGACCTAATATGGTAGGTTGCTTATTTACGACAATATTACATACCATATAGAATGATTATCCTCCGATGCGGATCCTATGAATTGTATCATGAAATTTTCTTCAAAGTTTTTCTTGTGTGTGTGTCACTTACGGTCTGAGTGACTGCTATCGAAAATCTGCCTTCTGCGATTGTTACAACTACTATTCAGTATTATTTATCGAAAATAAGAAGTAACATGGAACGCTCCTTATTAACTTGGATCATGAAAATAACAATTGAAATGTTTAATCAAAGTTCCAATATCTCGAGAATCGTGAGGTTTTCATTGAAGTTGAGTTGTGATGTTCTGCTGGGTTATGAACTTAATTATCACCAGCTAGAGAATGATCCATGATTCACAGGACATCCAGTATATCTCAGAGATCTATTGCCCACTTGATTCATTGAAAAAAGATCTCCCTCATACTGGAATGTCAGTTAGTTGACTATCAGATTAAGAACAAATAATATTGATATTAGTTTCTATTCATTTTCATCATACCATCATATAATATTGAAATATCAATTATTTCAATCTTGCACTGAGAAGCAGAAATTTCGATATGGGCTTATTTATATTAAAAATGAGAGTTAATTCACTTTTTTACAGACATATATCGCAGTACTACTTATGTGTATAACTTCGTTGGTATATAAGTACCAGCTGGCCATCGACCTCTATTGAGGTCCTTCAGCCATTACAATCATAAAATTCGCGACATGCTTCTTTTGATCATAGTGAGAATAGGCGAGTGAACTGATATTTTTATCTCTTGAATAGATTTTTAGGTGGTGAAATCATCAATAATGCCACGGAATTTTCAAACGCCTAAAAATTTACCGCCAGTTGAAACTGACGATAAGATTTCGTGAGTAGGGGCATAGCACAGTTGCCATGTTTTGATATACGGTTGGGAACTTCAAAAATATTAGTTACCTATTCAATATTTATAAATTCTCAATCACATATTGGTAATATTCCTAATCAGCAGTAAAAGTTCAATTATCTCAAAATGTCTCCATACGAATTGTGGCTTATTGCTTATAATGAATTTGTGTAAATAATAATTATATCGATTAACATTAGAAGACATTTGAAACGATTAATGTAACAACACGGCGCACGACTTGTGGGCGTGGTTTTGTCGGTTCTCAGCATTCAGCACAATGTTGCCAAGTCATCAACATTTAAATGATATTTTGTTCTGGAGGATGAGAAATATTTGGACATGCTGGTTGCCGGAATATAACATCTTTTTGATAACTTGATGAAAATTGGTGAGAAGTGTTGCAAAAATCAACCCAGGTTCTCAACGTCATAGTCAGGGGCGGATCCAGACGATGTTTGAGGGGGGGGCATAGAAAGTCACGGCTCAATAAGGTTAGCGCGGAAGAGAAATTATATGAGACAAATGCTTTTTCATTAAAAAAACTGATCATAGTAAACATCGAAATTATTGGTGTAAAAAAATCTTTCATCAATGTATGTAGAATTCTGTAATAAATCATATTGGATAAAAGGAGTGAATGAAAAAATATTTCTGTTGAAAAACTTGGGTACAAAAGTGAATGAAAATATTTCTCTTCAAAAATAAAACAAATGAAACAGACAAAAATGAAAATATATAAAATAAAGAAAACAAATTCCAGTCTTCTATTCTTCTGCCTAGCTTATCTTTGGATGATATCATCAACATTCAGACTGCTGCAGATGCCCCTGTGAATATGCATTAATGCCAATCCATTAAAACAGTCTTGGACCATTCTGGATCTTATCCAATTTTTCAGCCTTCTGAGTGTTGAAAAACTTCTTCCAGAAGATGCAACACTTACAGGTAGGCAACAAAATAGTTCCAGAAGGATGTTCATGTTAGGAAACAAATGTTTGTTACATTCCTTCAGGGCAGTTATACCATTGTTTGGTATATTTCAAAAACAATCTTCTGGGAGGATATTTCATTATTCTCCCCAAAACTGTTCAAGTATATTTCCCATACCTCATAAATTTCCTCATCTGTTTTGTTTTTAGTTATTGAGATGGCACACAAAGGTGAAGGTTGTATAGATTAAATTCATTTTCTGATATTCCTTCTTTCAGATCAATAATAATACTGGAATGAAAACAGTAATTCTGTAATGGTCATTCACTGAGGCAGAGATCTGAGAAAACCGTATTTGGTCTATGAACCATTCTCCCTGTTATTCTCGGCATCGAGAATTCAACATTCAGTTCTTTGAATTTCTGTTTGGCTGCATTCGAAATACTTAGATAGTAGGTATTTAGAATGTCATCCCTTTTATCTGGAAGCGTCTGAAGAGTGATACTAACAACATCGTTAGCTTGTTTTTTGTTTGGAGCAAATTACTAAGTGGCAGTGTTATCAAATTATATTTGCCAAACAGCAGAGTGTAATAATTACAAATTCGCAATTCCTCAAAGCTGTTGCGAAGTTTCTAGCTATAGAGACATACAATATTTTTTTCATTTATTCAAAATACCCACATTTTTACATGTCCATGAGGTGCTCGAGGGGCTCGAGGCTATGGCCCCCCCCTGGATCCGCCCCTGGTCATAGTGGAGTAATTGAATGCCAATAATTCATTATGAGTTCACTTGTCCATTGAGAAAGCCACAACTGAGCTGATGCTCATCCATTTCAGCAATCTTTCGAAGGTTATACACTTATCTCCTTTGATGTACGTTCTTGGATAACACAATGAAAATCACGTGCGTTAGACTACCAATGGGTTTTTGATGGCGTAGAGTCTGAAGTCTTGATTTTCATCACTATTATAGTATGATTTGTTTGATATTCAGATAAGCGATAAGAAGATTTGTAGTTCAAATATCTGAACCTCAAACCAAGGGGATTTTTATTGATTCTGAAATATATATACTCCATCGAACTTTGTCGTATTGGAAAAAATGTTTGTGAGATACTCTGAGACATATGTACATCGGAACAAATATAGTACAGTATTTCTCTCACATAAAAAAACCTTTTTAGCAAACATGCATTATATACAGGGTGTTTCGAAATTCGACGGACAACGCTTGACAGGTGATAGCCCTCGTGATCTAATAATTTCTGAGATAGGGACATACCGTCTCCGTGTGTTCAGTTCTCGTGAAACAGGGTGTTGAAGTTGAGAAATGAGAATAGTCTCTTCGTAATAACTTAAGAATGATTGAATATTTTGCATTCACATTTTGTATATGCTTTTATCTTTTTCTTTCTTTCTTTCTTTTTTTTCGAACATGTCATTCCAGACATTTCATCCAGTGGTGCACTACAGGGAGTTGTGGTTAATTTTCCTCCCATATTTTTCACGATACTGATTCATCATTTTGAATTTCGCGAAATCATTGTTTTGATTTTCTTCAGAAAATGCGTCACCAACTACTGAGCTGATGAAAAGCTTCCGAGATATTCGACCCAGAACATACTTTTGCATAGTGATCATTTTCCATCATTCTCAGTACCTAAGAGAAAATTAATCAGACACTTTTGAGACACCATTCTGTAGCTGAACAGTGATAGTAATCTCATGCAGAAAGGAGAGAGCGAACATTTTTTCAATCTTATACTACTGGAAATGAGGAAATATTACTATGCGAATTCATATTTTGGGTCAAAAATCTCGAAAAAACTGTCTGATTCAGCTCAGTTGCAGGTAATGCATTTTTTGAACAAAATTGAACATTGAATTGGATGAATTCAGAATGATCAAAATTCTATCTGGATATAGCGTTGCAACTATAGAAGGAAAAGTTACCAGAACTCCCTGTAATGACTTTCTGGTCTAGATATGATATACTGCATTTCGATGTGAAATGTTCAATCACTCCTAACTATTTCTGTTTCCTAATTCCAAAACCCTGTATTTCGAGAACTGAACACTTGAAGACCTTATATGTCCTCATCTTAATGATTATAAAACCACGAGGGCTGTCACATGTCAAGCGTTGAAGATCGAATTTGGAGACACCCTGTATCTTTGAAATATACTAATTTTCCGTCGACCTCAACAAAAAAATCACTTTTTACGTTCTAGTACTTTTCGTTCGCAGACACTTACTTTTGGCGCAAACACTTTTCGTCTGCTGCAGGGATGCCAGTTCTTCCTACATTATTATTATTGATCTTCAGTTAATCACACACCCTTATGAATTGCCGATATTTCGGCACGCTTTGCTCAGTTGAATTTCCCAGAATAAGCAATAAATTAACATATGTGTACTTATTATACAGGGTGTCCGCTAAAAGGAGGTCAATCCATTAACCACATATTCCTTGAACAAAAACAATATGAGTTTCTTAATATCATTTTTCATTTTAGCCCTTCATATTCGGTATACAGGGTGTCAAAGTTGGAAATTAAAAACTGTTTTTTTCTAATTACTCGCGTATTTGATAAGATATTAATCTCAAAATTGGTACATTACTTCAGCACAAAGAGTTACATCGTGTGAGGAAAACAAAACAGAAAATAACTGTCAAATATTCAAGATACTGGGGGTCAAGTTCACACTTACCCCCATATTTTGTTTGTACGTGCGCTAATGACTTCCTATTTATTTTCCTTCTAGTGTTCAATCATTTTTGAGTATTTTTTGTTTTCTGTAAAATTTCGATTGAATCATTTGTTTTTAAGATAATTCGAAAAGTACTGGTTATTGTTTGATGCCTATGCGGCTTAGGTAATCTCATAATGTTCACATACTCCTATTTATTTCGTCGAAATTGAAAGAGGGCGTATCTCTTTACGTACGAAAAGGTAAATATGGAAATACTGGGAGCT